ATTAGCCCTCACTTTTCCCTTCCCGTGAACTGACATATTCTTAACGCTAGTAATGATTTATTTTCGCATTACAGGCGAAAGAACTAAACTGAGTTTATGTACCTCTTGTTGTCGAACCAATTACTGCAATGTTGGCAACACTAGCACTGATCCAATCGTTTACGCAAATCTCATACTTATGTCCATTCTTATGGTTTTATCCGCTGTTTGTAATTAATAATTATATTTAACACAAAAATTGTTTTTAAGAATAAATTCATTGACGAAGTAATGTTTTCACACATTATTTATAATCCATTTTTCTCAATTATTAGGGATAGTGAGTGAGTGAGTGAGTGAGTGAGAGTGAGAGAGTGAGTGAGAGAGTGAGTGAGAGAGAGAGAGTGAGAGAGAGAGAGAGAGAGAGAGAGAGATATCCCAAAAATGATATATTCTGGTTAGTCTATGATATTGTATGAATGGCATCGCGAGTAACGCCAGTTCTCTTAGCGTAACCCCTCGTCCACTCAATTCATTAATTTTGCCCATAATTTATCACTCAATCCAATAGTGATGTGAATCGAGTGATTGTAAATATAGGGCTGAATATGTTTTAGTTGGAAAATAGTATCAATAAGCAATTTAATAGTGATTTCTCGCAATTTATTTGCAATTTGAATGTAAATTTGCAAAACGAAATATATTCATAACTCAGTAAATATTCTTTACAACAGAATATCTTACAAAATGTGTTACGAATAATATATAAAAACATACTTTAAATTAATTATAAACTAAAATATAATAATAATAATTAATAATAATATAATTAATGAGTCAAATGAGAGCTGAAAAATAAAGTATTGCAAAAACATATCTTATGGTAAATATATAGATATTCTTAAAAATCGCGACTAAATTACTGTCTTGTGTTTCGTTTCCACTAAATTAAGCGCTAAATCAGGTGTTAAAGTCGTTTTAACTTCGCTCTGCCGAACAGGAATTCCAACACTCGGTCCACTGCCAGCGCGCAGATCAGATCCATTGACAACACTGTCATCAATACTTTTTGAAACTTTTAAAAATAATAGAAATGAATTCAAACGATATGTCGTGAATGAGACAAAGAATTGAGTGACAAAACTCACGTCTGCGGGAAACTCAACGATTCCGAACTGATTGGACAAATCAGGCAAAACACCCGTCACTAGCGCTACGACAGCCAAGAATGAGCCGATAATACTCCACAGCAAAGGCTTATTCTCGACCAAACTCTCCATAAACGGGTGGCCCTGTAATCAGTAAAGCAGTTAATTAAATGATTGATTGCTTTCAAGTAATAATTCTTCGCAAACCTTATAATTGACGGCAAAAGTCGACACTTGGAGTGATATAGAAATGATATAAACGGTTGAGTTAAGGATAGAAGCGTTGAACTCTGCCTCTAAATCGGGAAACTTTTCCAACGCCTTCGGCGTTCGCCTCTTCGCCTCCCGAACCAAATAAATCAAAGAACAGAAATGAACCGCAAATTGCAGTAAAACCGTAAGAATCGTATAAATGTTAAAAATGTTAGGCAAAGGGCGACGCGACGACAGTGTTGTCAATGGCTGTCAAAAGAGAAACAATTGCGTAAATCAATACAATTTATTGAAAGACAATTGAAACGAACCCGAGATCGAGATATAAATAGGAAACAACCGGCGAGAAGGAGGCCCTGAAGGGTCGCCTGTCCGTCGCTGAACTTAATGCCATCCAAATAGAGCACAGACTGACTGTAGGCGAGTATGAGTGCGTTGAGAGCCAGTATCTTAAACATTTGGAGTGTAGTGACGAGCGTACACCTGCCCTGTTTGATGATATGACATACTGTGCCACACAAACAAACCAATCATTATGTTTTCAAAATCATTGCCCAAAACTCATACCGCATTGAATGGATGATAGTTTGGAGGTGAAGGGGGCGGCGATACTGGCGTCGCCGAGTTTCACCACCGATGCCTTCTCCTGTTCCTCCATCTCTGCGAGCATTCGTTGCAACTGTTGTTGCGTTTCGAGCGCCTTATTCTGAGGCCGACCGGCATTGGCCGCCGCGTTAGCGACTCCTCGATCCGAGCCGTGAGTTCGGCCGCGCATTCGGTTTCGGGGAATATTGTTACTCATCTCGTTGTTGGCGTTTACGGTCACGTCGTTTGTGGGCTTAGGTTTCGGCTTCGGAAGATCTGATGCCTGAAGGGGTGCGTTGGCTAACAGTGCGACCCCGACGTGTGCGTGCTTTAGAGCGCCGACATCATTGGTTCCATCACCTGATATGATATACATATCATTACAATTAACACATTTTTAACAAAAATGTTGGCCACAAACCAGTCATCAAAGTTGTAAAACCAAGACTTCTTAACGAAGTAATAATCGATTCCTAAATCAATGTATTAAAAGATTGGGTCAGCGATGGAGTGAAAGCCAAATGAATGCAAAAACAAACCTTCTGTTTGGGGGCCACGCGTGCAAAGACCCGAATGTGAGGCAATACTTTCTTATAAAATTTCAAGTCATTATCGATGAGATAATTGAGAGCATCGCCAGTAATGCACAACTCGTATGTATTAAAGAACTGTTTCGGATCTTTGGGAATGCAATCGAGTCTTGTTTTCTCATTAATCGAAACCCATTGAAAATCATCTTTAAATTAAAAGCCATATAAATAACAATTGAAATTAAAACACAAATAAACACTTACTTTGGATCTTATTGGGTGACAAAATCAGTGTCTCTTTCTTCTTCGATATAAAGTGCAATTCCTTCGCCACGTGACAGGCGGTCAGTGGCGCGTCGCCAGTGATCATAACCACCTGTCCATTACATTCACACATCAAATATATGTATATTTAAATAAATATATAATTCGTAATCATATAAAAAATCAATGCATACGTGATGTAAAGAATTGATAATTTCTTTCATAACGGCTTTCGAGTCGGGTTTCAGTGGACAGGAGATAACGACAAATCCAACGAAATCTAAATTCTTCTCGATATCATTTCGTGTCAAATCTCTCACCTTATGTTTAAATTGAACGTTAGATTCATTGATAATTATTGTAATTTTTCACTCAAACACCTGTTGATGCGAAAGATTTCCAAGAGTTCTTCGGCCCAAAGCCAACACACGGGCGCCCTTTCGACACATTTCAATGTAAACGTCATCATAATTGGTCGGAACGCTTGAGAACTAATCAAAATCGTTACGAAATATTCATTCAAAACAGATGTAGAATTTGATAATAGCTTGCAATCAATTGTCAATAAAAAATCAAATCAACGAACCATTGGCTTCAAGATTTCGGGCGCGCCTTTCACTACCGAGAAGTATGTGGTATCAGTAGTTCCGGCCGGAGAATAGCCGGCAATCACTGACATCCTCTTGAGAGCGCTCGAAAAGTGGAACCTATAGAATATCTTAAGACCCGGCGATTTGCCCTTCTTTGGTATGACGGCATCGCCTTTAGTTAGCGTCCACTCAATAGCGTTAAGAGTGGCCTTTTCTAGCGGATCCCCAACCAGTCCGTCCTCTAACTGAACCAACGCGTGACAAGTGGCCAACACTTGTATCGTTTCCAATGGAGCTTCAGTTATGGGACATATTTTGTTGTCATCTTTAAGGCCAGCGATTCCCTCGACTAATAAGTTATTACTGGTAAGGGTTCCGGTCTTATCGAAACAACAGATCTCCACTTTTCCGCCAAATGGTATGCGAAACGGTTCCGTACAGTAGATGTCTATCGCAATGGAAAGCAAAAAGAGAAAAATTAATATAAATTTTACTAAAATAAGAAATTTAAAAAATCGTACATAATTTCGACAGTGAAAGCAATGATGTGTTGACGGCTAACGATAATTCAATGGGCAGTTCCGGAGGTACAACAGACGTCAAGATTAGCGTACACTCGAGGAACAGCTTATATCGATTGCGTTTCGGGTCTTCAGAGCCCTTAACCCATACATAGCCGGCGGCAGCGATCGCGAAGATCAACAAAAACAGAATAAACCCAAATGTCTCCAAATTATTAGCCGTCACTCTCTTCACGCCATACAGTATTGTTCGCAACAATTTTCCCTGAGATGTGTTAAAACTTGTCCGCAAAACATAGCCAACACATCCATTATCACCGGCTATTAATTAGTGAATAAGTGTTTTTTTCAATAAACTTATCTAATAATAGCTATAGATATGCATCAAATGACATACCTCTGAGTCCAGTGGTGGTCTTCGCGGGCGCCGTGTGTTGTAATACTTTAGTCCCGCCGTAAAGCATATGCAGTCGACCGTCAGAATCGATATCAAAATTACGAGTATTGTCGACAATGGCTTCGATGGGTTCCTTCATCTGTGGCACAGACTCTCCCGTAAGCATCGACTCGTCGACAATACAAGAGCCGCGCAACAGAAGCAGATCACAGGGAACTAAGTTCTCCTCCTGAGAGCGGACAATGGAGACGATATCTCCGGGCACTAACTCATTGGTCTGAATGGGACGCCACTTGCGATTCCTATACACCTGAATAGTGTACGGCTTGTTTCCCATTTTGCGGATCTCCGACAGATTCCTCAGCTGTTGCTGTACTAAAACGCACTCAAAGGCCACTAACATGACAAGCGTGAAGACACTGTAGTACCAGAACTCATCCAAACACCACAAACCGACGCAAAACAGTTGAAACACGAAGAACGGAGCCGTCGCTCGCTCTCTGAACAGTTCCATGAATTCGGGCACTTCCATCTCCAGACTGTTGCGCCCGAACCGGCGCTCAATGGCCACGATCTCGACCTCGTCCTGATAGCCCTTCCACTGCTGGTAGTCATTGATCGCCAAATTGATTGGAAACGACAGAACCGTAAACTTATTGGTCTCGCAATCGTAGATGTATTTAGTCTTTTGAAACGAGAACCAAATCATATCCTCCTCTTCAGTGTCATCACGTTTTGTGCGATAGAGACGAATCAATTCGGGCGACCCGTTGTTCGGCATCGGAACCACTTTGACAAACGCGGCCGACAGTGGACTCGACGCCTATAGGAATCGGTTTAAAACAAATCAGTGTCATCACGTTTTGTGCGATAGAGACGAATCAATTCGGGCGACCCGTTGTTCGGCATCGGAACCACTTTGACAAACGCGGCCGACAGTGGACTCGACGCCTATAGGAATCGGTTTAAAACAACACAATTAGTAGTGAAAAAGCAAACAATGATCTCATCGATGGTTTTACTTTAGTAAAGGCGAGAAAACTCTTGCAGTGAACGGACCAATGGCTGAACAGATACGACAGTATCTGAAGTACGACCACAACCGCGACAGCGATAAACCAAATCTCTTGCGATTCCGTTTGGGAATAATATGTCAACCAATTGTAGATTAAGATAATATATATGGACACGAATGGACCGAAATAGCCGTGAAGAACCAGCGGTCGACTGTTATAGCACTCGACACTCTTCACCAATTGGTCCGAAGACTCGCGAATCGATTCCATGGCTACGGATTTGGTCCGCGTTTCTCTTCACCCGTCGATGTCCTCGAAGTGCGGCTACAGATGACTGATCCGCTGACCAGATGTGTGTCTGTGAGTGATATTTGATCACAAATTTTACTCTTGAGTCGTCCACACAATGACAATGAAATCACTGATTCACTAAATCATCGCTTAATTGGGTTTTAATTACAAATTAATTGCGAATTTAAATATGAATTAAATATTTATTTTTTTGTTTTAATTTTTCGCTTCAAAAATAATAATGAGTTGTGTTTTCGGCTAATATTTACAAAAACGTAACGTTTGTTGTGAACGACTCTTTTGCCGGTTTCTACTACTTTTAATTCTCAAATATCACTCGCTATTAGTCTATGGCTTTAATCAGATAAATAAATTCAATGAGTTTGCGATAATGTGTTTGATTTGACTTAAAACTTGGTTTTGATTTAATTAAATTAATTTTTAACAGCATTTTATTGGAGGTATTTTTATTGTATGTAACGATTTATATGAATGGCTCCAACAATGAACAGCTCACACAACAAATTGGCAAATATTTAATCAAACGAATACAAATATAACGTGACAAATATATGTAACAATTTTGCCCCCAATTAAAATATAAGGCAATCTCAACGCACAGAATATGACACAATCAGTCCCTTTACCTCTCATTATATGCACGCAATATATGAACGATTCGTTTAAAGGAAAACATTTGTGAAATTTTATTGATTTTTATGAATAAAAATACAAAAAATCTCTTTTAAATCACATTTTAATAATTAATTGAATTGTTTTGTGTTTTCAATCGATTCACGCATTCATTCATTCATTGATTTTATTATACAATTGTTTTTGAATTAAAACATATATTTTGTTATTTGAGTCCCAAATGTCTGATCCTTTGGACGAAACAAATGTCTTGAAATTATCCAAAAATGGTTTGTATTTCTGTTAAATCACTCATAAATGTCTTATACCTCTGGATCTGATCTCACGTTTGAAAACAGAGGCTAAAGAACTGCTCCAGAAGTGGAGGGAAGAAAATACGAGAAACTCGGAGTCCGTCAGAGATATTTGGCTCAACACTGACTTCGGATCAAGTCTTGGAGACGAGAGTGAGTCCATACACGTGTACACACATCACACCAAACGGTTCCCAATGATTACTATACTGTATGTTTAATTGTGTGACAGAATGGCAAGTGTTAGAACAGGTGTGCATTGCGGCCATCGATCTTCACGACAACGAACTCATCAAAGAATGTCTGCAACAGTTGGACACAAAGTTCCCGAATAGCGGTCGCGTGAAGAGACTGAAGATAATGGCGAAACTAGAACTCCGCGAACGCTTTGAGGACGCGTTGCAAATGTACGACCAGATGATCGTCAAAGACGAGTCCAACTCATTGCTATACAAACGCAAAATCGCGATACTATTGGCCGAAAGGCGTGTCCCGGAAGCGATCAAAGAGTTGTGCGAATACCTCAAGAAGTTTATGAACGACACGGAGGCGTGGCTTCAACTGTCGGACCTGTATATCGAGGAGCAGGAGTACAGTCGGGCGGCCTTCTGTGTGGAAGAGCTCATTTTGGCCAATCCTCACAACCACTTATACCACGAGAGGTACGCCGCCATCCAATACACCATCAATACGGCCGACAGTCTAGAGTTGTCGCGTTCCTACTTCTCGCAGGCCTTACGCCTCAACCCAAACAACTTGCGCGCTCTCTATGGCCTCCTATTGTCGGCCAATAGTGTGGCCGCTCTGCCGAAGACCACATCACAGAAGAAGCGCGAGAATCTCCGGTTAGCCAATTGGGCGTCCACTCAGATCACACAACTCTATCGCCAGAGCTCTGACGACGAGAGCCGTATCAACGCTATGGAGGGAATGTTAGCCAACTTACAGATCACTCCAAACAGCACTTAATATATTAATTAATCATATTTTATAGTTTATAATATTTCTATTGTTTAATTTTATTTTTCTGAGTTATTAATGGATTTATTATGAGTTTTATTATTATTATCACACGATTTGTCCATCATTTCGGTGTATTCTATGAACTTTTCCACTGATATTAATATACGAGACATATATGTAGACAATTGTTGTTCACTGATTGATATCACTCGCAGACACGGATGACATTCGCGACTGATGTCGAAATTGGTGTCAGTTTTGTCGGCCGAAAAGGGCACCCAAAACACTAATCGGCCGCCGATTTTCAAATGTCTGGCACTGAATGCCAGTAAATCGCCGAATATATCACATATACTATACTCTACTTTGGATGGAATGTGTCCGTCGATCAACTCGTCGGGTATTGTGTATTGCCGTTCGGAGCCAACCCTTTCCCGTGACTCTCGTTTGCCATACGGCGGGTCTGTTATAATGGCGTCCAATTGGAGCGCCGGTCCAGTCGTGCGCCAAAACGGTTGCGACGAATCGGCAATTATGACATCGAGGTATCGGTTCTGCAGATTGTATTGCTTCAGATTCGAGAGAATACTTTCGTCGGCGTCTCTCTCTTTGACGGACGCGCGCGAAGGTTTGGTCAGCCCGTGAATCAACTTATAATCGATATCTGTTCCCATGACGTAAGCACCGCAATAGGCGGCCGACACTAATAGACTACCGGAGCCGACAAAAGGGTCGACAACCATATCTCCGGACGAGATCTTCGCGATGTTAGCCATCAGAAGCGCTAACATTGGATCCATTGATGTGTTGGCAATGAATTTCCTTTGTTTTAAAGAGAATTTCGAGACATTCTTGCGATTGCTGTCGAAGAGGTGTCGACTGAATAGTATTTGTTGCGGTGTTTCAAGAATTTCGTTGGGATTATTGCCGTAATACTCAAAGAGATGGAAACTATAGTTGGGATCTCTTAAATCGATTTTGCCTTCAAATGGCAAAAAGGCTATGTTTTCGATCTTTTCGACTTTGGCCGCAATCGACAGCTTTTTGTTATAGCCCTCCACTTGAATGCGAAACGAACTCCACTTGTATTGAGGCAAATGAATGTGCGGACTGTTGCGGACGTCTTCGGGAAACTGATCCAAATCACTGGAATTAGTCCATAACTCGTATAGACTGCGAGCCAATACAGTTCTGGACATTAATTGTCTAAGTTTTTCATCGCCGGCTTCGGAGGTGAACAAAATGAACGGCTTTTTTAATGAACAAAAAACAAATGAAACAATGAATGGACAATAAATGGACACAAAAACCTTATCAGAGGGCTCTTCGATATACTGGAAATCGATGGCCAGAAGTGATGCCAAACTTTCAAACTCCTGAAGAAGAAGTCAATTATGAGAAAAAAGACAAAATAATTTACAGAAAGAAAACACTTGTTTTTACCGCAACTCTGAAAGCATTCAAATGATTGGCAAACCATAGCATATAAGCTGTCATTGCGTTTGCATTCAAATGTAAATTAAAACTAATTATAAAAACAAAATTAACACTAAATTTAACTAAAACTTCAAAACTTTTTTAGGCCAACAATTTTTGTCATCGCAAACACATGTGATAACCATATCGTCCATAAACAACGTGACACGAAAAGGACGTGTTATGTGAACGCACCCCCAATACATGGCAATCACGTGACTCTTCGTATATCACATCCATTTCCTGCGAAACCACATTCACTGTCGGATCGCTTTTAACGTTAGTATTGATTATAATTTGGTTTTAATTACAATTAAATCACTTTTTAGTTAATATTTTTGACACAAATATATTGACTATAATGTGGTAAACGATGGCAGCGATCGCTAACCGTGTTTTCCTCTGCAAACAGATCCCAATCACTTGAAACACTCGTGTTGTCCTTAAACTCGTTTGAATCCTTGTATCACTTTCATCAGCAAAGATGGTCAGGGAGGACAAGACATCGTGGAAAGCCAGCTATTTCCTCAAATTGACTGTAAGTATCACCGCATCTGTTCCCACACCACCACCACTACCAGAACCCTATCAACTAACGACACACTTCCTCCCCCTCTGCCGACAGCAACTTCTGGATGAATACCCGAAATGCTTTATCGTAGGCGTGGATAATGTCGGGTCCAAACAGATGCAACAGATCCGCCAATCGTTGCGAAACGATGCCGTCCTCCTGATGGGCAAGAATACGATGATCCGGAAGGCCATCAGAGGACACCTCGAGAACAATCCGGCGCTCGAGAAGCTGTTGCCGCACATCAAGGCTAACGTCGGTTTCGTCTTCACGAACCTCGAGTTGGTTGACGTCAGGGATAAGATCCTCGAAAACAAAGTGAGCGCACCGGCGAAGGCCGGAGCCATCGCTCCCGTCGACGTGTTTATCGCCGCCCAAAACACCGGTTTGGGTCCCGAGAAGACCTCTTTCTTCCAGGCGCTGTCCATTCCCACGAAGATCGCGAAGGGAACCATTGAGATACTGGTTTGTAGTGACACAATGCGTGCGATCGTGACATTCATATTAACGCGTGATTTGTTTGTTTCCCACAGAATGAGATCCATTTGATCAAAAAGGAGGACAAAGTGGGCGCTTCTGAGGCAACTCTGCTAAACATGTTGAACGTCTCGCCGTTCACTTACGGCCTAATCATCCGTCAAGTGTACGATTCGGGCACTGTTTTCGATCCCGAGATTCTGGACATCACTCCGGAGGACTTGCGCGCCAAGTTCTTGGCCGGCGTTCGCAACGTCGCCGCCGTTTCGCTGGCCATCGGTTACCCGACGGTGGCTTCGGTGCCGCACTCGATCGTCAACGGACTGAAGAACTTGATCGCTGTGGCCGTCGAGACCGACATCGACTTGAAGGTCGCCGAACGCGCCAAAGAGTATCTGAAAGACCCGTCGAAGTTCGCGGTGTCGGCCGCGCCCACAGCCGCCGCTCCCGCGAAGGGAGGCTCGCCTGCGAAGGAAGCAAAGAAGGAAGAGTCTGAGGAAGAAGAGGACGACGACATGGGTTTCGGTCTTTTCGATTAGATTCCCCTTTCGTTCACTCTTTGAACGCTTTTTTATTGTAATTTGTTTTGCAATAGAATATGAATAAAAAATTATGAAAACTATTTATTTGCTTTTAATTTCATTTAACGGATAACAAAGTGTTAACAAATGGCGAGTCGTTGAGCGCCTGCCGTTCGGCGCACAGCCGTTGACACAACCGCTTATGGCTGTCGAGCGGTGACTTTAGTGCCGCCACTATTAGCAGCTGATTGAAGACATCCCTCTGAGCATCGCTGCCGCCGATGTCGATGATATCGTATCGGATTTTCATGAGTTTTTCCACCGTTTGTTGGTATCTCTCTTCGTGAAAGTCGACCATCGCTTCCAGCAGTGGAACAGTTACGCGAATCCAAGAGTCGGAACTGACGGAGGGGTCAAACGTTTCGATCAACTGATGCGCTTCTTTGGTGTGTTGAGCGCCCAAACAGGCCATCAGAAAGTGCGCGTCATTGAAGCCCATGATGTGGTCATTGAGATGGGGCTCAATGATGGAGTACACGTCCTCCCAGTGCTCGTGAGTGACAAACTCTTTGGGCTTTATTAGGTCGAGTCGGTAGAGAAGAGACGCGGCGTCGACGCAGTCGAGCATCGCTTTGTTATGCAGAGCCCGGCGTCCGATCTCACTGTCAAACAACTGAACCGCCGTTTCGTACTCTTGGCGTTCGATGTGGAAGAGCGCCAAATGCCAGAAGTTATGACAGGCCAAGTAATTACACGCCGACCAGTCCTTCACTGTTGAGCTCATGAAGTCGATGCCCTCATCCACCCGACCCTCCATTACCATCACGTGTGATATGGCGTGTGTCGCCCAACCGTCGTTACGATTCGCCTCCAAAGCCTGGTGGCGATCACCCAATGGATCAGTTGTTTGTTGAAATTACTTATATTCTTTTATAAACTTACGAGTTTGGCCTCCCGTTCCGCCCGATCGTAGAGCAGTGTCTCCTCTAAGCCAAACGCATACATACCGTGAATATAACTATAAAATACAAATGCAATTATTGTTGGGTTTAATGTTTGAAAACACTTTCAATACCTCTTCAATGGTAGGGAACTGTCTCTCCAAACGGGTAATACTCTTGCGATTGAATCCCGGATTTGAGTGCTTTTACCCAAATAGAAGAGCGCGTCGTGATTGAACTTAAGCGCCTGAAGATCTGTCGGATAGTCGACCAGAATCTGTTCCCATACGTCGGAAGCGCCGCTCCAATCGCCGCTCGCAAACTTGCGAACCGCTTCCACGTGTCGGTACTCCCGGTCCTCAATCTTATCGCGATTTTTATTCGCCAATTGAACCAAATCTTGTAATTGAGTGTTGAGATCATTGTTCAGTCTTATGGTAGTTCCCGTTCCGATCAGTTCCAGACCCAAACTGAAACTCCGGCCCAAAACTGTTAATTTATGCATCATTTTAGAGATCAGTCATTAGCACAGAGTTTACAATAATTTACTGAAATTAGGATCCGCTGAATGCATGTCATCCACAGTCTTGACCAGACCTCCAACGTTCGGGTCATCAAACCATCCGATCAACTATTGAGACAAACAATTGAAACAATTTAAACTCTAGAAGACAATGACCATCGATGGTATACTTGAGTGATGGCCGCGTCATATAGTTTGACGGCTGTGTCGGAAGTGGTGCTCCCGATTGGAAGTCCTTCTGATCTCCAATCCTAACATTTTGTGAACAAAAAAATTTAATTTAAACTAATTTTATCCACAAATAAATTTTGATTAATTAATTAAACAACTAATTTAATAATTGCAAAGTAATTGCAATGACTGGCGAATGTGCATAACTAGTACAGTAGTTATTAACTACCAATCATTTATTTCCAAACAAAATAGTAATCAAATAAAATTAAGTTTTGCAACAAAATTGTTTAAATTCTAACACAAAATATTTTTAAAATGACATCAAAAATGTTTTGCCATAAGAATAATATCGTTAAATATGGCTAAATATAGTCAATGATAGTATACTAACAGCACATCCTCTCCAGTTGTTTCTAAACATAGACATAGTTTTCTAAACTGTTGGCTATAATTGTAATAAATAACTAATTTCACAAATTTTTATGGTTATTGTCGACCAGTTTTGGGTATATGTTGTATAATAAACTCAAAAAACTTATACATAATATCCGAACGCTTTCAGGGCTTAAGACAATGACCATCGATGGTATACTTGAGTGATGGCCGCGTCATATAGTTTGACGGCTGTGTCGGAAGTGGTGCTCCCGATTGGAAGTCCTTCTGATCTCCAATCCTAACATTTTGTGAACAAAAAATTTAATTTAAACTAATTTTATCCACAAATAAATTTTGATTAATTAATTAAACAACTAATTTAATAATTGCAAAGTAATTGCAATGACTGGCAAATGTGCATAACTAGTACAGTAGTTATTAACTACCAATCATTTATTTCCAAACAAAACATTAATCATTTAAAATTAATTATTTTATAACAAAATTGTTAAAATTCTAATAAAAAATATTTTAAAAATGACATCAAAAATGTTTTGCCATAAGAATAATATCGTTAAATATGGCTAAATATAGTCAATGATAGTATACTAACAGCACATCCTCTCCAGTTGTTTCTAAACATAGACATAGTTTTCTCAACCGTTGGCTATAATTGTAATAAATAACTAATTTCACAAATTTTTATGGTTATTGTCGACCAGTTTTGGGTATATGTTGTATAATAAACTCAAAAAACTTATACATAATATCCGAACGCTTTCAGGACTTGTTTTCAATGTCACGAAAAAATCTCCACAGTATTAGCAATGCATACGATTATGTAAATTGATATCTCAATTGATGTTTAAAAATCAAAACAAAAACCAATAAACTTTTAGAGAAGATAATAATGAATTAGTTTAGAAAAACAAGTGATAAAAACGATTCGTGTGCTCGTAGTGTGTAATGTGGCACATATTGTGAGCACCGGGAAGGGGAGGGCAGAGTATACAAGAATAATTAGTATATCCTGATGTCCTTACGATATGTTGTTTATATGACAAAACTTTTTAGTTATTAACAGTATTGAGGTATCGGTGAAGTGAAACCAATGATTCAAATACAGAAGTTCTGGATGGAAAGGGAAGGAGGAGTGGGATTGGGATGCATATGGACTGTGAAACCAGATAATAGCCGTTATTTGATAGGATAAGCGGGTGATAATAGGTTTACACTATGGTTTGGTTCAGTTACAACTTATGGTTCATTTTTCAAGTATAAAACATTATACTTGAAGGCCTTTCAAAGAGTAAAGATCTCTTATGATTGTGTCAATCGTTTTTCTAATGAATTATTGCACTAAAAGTTTAGTAAAACTTTTCAGATTTAAAAGCTATTGAAAATCTAATGACGAGTAGTTTTTTTGAGGGCTGTTTTGTATTGAATTGTGAGACCTCTCAAAGATGTTGCGCTCTATGATAGAGAGGGATGTGCTGTCAGCGCATGAATGCTAATCCAAACGGTATGAATGGTTAACAAAATGATGTGATGATAGAGAGTGTGTCTCAATTATGAGAGACACTCGTGACTGTAGTATTCAATACACACTCTCACAGAACCAGTCTTTCTGTTATACAGTATTTCACGAATCAATTGCAATCGGAATCACATTTTGAGCCCTGTTTTCGTCGAAACCGCTATTTTTCAGTGCATTTTTAGTGCAATTCGTTTATGACTTAACAAAACTTTTCGGCATCCGATTCAGTGTCTTCGCCACAATCCGATGGACACACTATTCGTGGCAAACATTTATCGCAGATAGTAATCGCTTTTACCACTCATTGAAACAATTAAAACTCAAATTATTTAGTATTAATCGGTAATTAAAGACCAAATATTGCCGATAATTAAAGTAATTTTCAATTAATAAATCGACTGAACGTAAGTGAATGGAAAATAAATTTTTTTTACAAACTTTAACCCTAACTGTAAATACAATTACGAAATGTTTGGATGAATAGATGGGATTGTTATCATTGGGCAAACCGTTGTCGTGGGACGAGACCAAGACTCACGCCGAACACGTCCGACAGCACGGAGTCCAGCAATTCATACATTTGTATAATAAGCTCAAGAATCGCAACGACACTACACTTAAGTGGGGCGACGAAGTATACGCTCATTAGATCTCAATCTATGATATCTATTGAAACTAATCCACTGTTCATTGATATCCATCTGCAGATAGAGTATATGATCGTAAAGTTTGACCACAAGAATCGAAAGGCGAGACTTAGTCTTACAGCGAAACCGATTCTGGATGTGATGGACGCTCGCGAAGAGGCCGAAGGGGAGAATCGGGCGGTGCTTTGGAGACCAGAGTTTGGCAATTGGATGATAGAGGGAACGCCCGGTCGGCCGTACGGTATCGATGAGTCCAATTCGGGCACCAGTTCTCTGTCTCACTTCAATGTAGTCGAGGCTAATATGAAGTCCCGGCGACAGGAAGTGAACGCCATGTTAGCCGAAGACGAGGCTCTACTAACGATCACAAGTTATCCCCGGTTTGGCATATTCTTCGACTCATACTTTTAGACAATATCTCAATATTTAAATAATTTTATTGTTAGCTTAGGAACCAATGACTTCACTCATCCCTATAGTAAACCCGAGCCGACAACTAGTGCCACAAGAAGTCAATTCCTCGCCGATGAAGGTATAGATCGGATGAACGCCAATATATGTTCAATGATATTAACAGTAATGTCTTAGTCATATATAGCGGTCACCCGAGGTATAAGACGTTGGCCGAGAATATCCGTAACCGTCGCGGACGGAAAGTTGTTATAAATGTTCCCATTTTTAAGGACACAAAAACTAAGGACCCGTTCATCGAAGTATTCAACGACGAAGAGTCAGACTCGGCGGCCAAAACGGACCACATCTATATGGACGCCATGGGCTTCGGGATGGGCTGTTGCTGTCTTCAGGTGACATTCCAGGCGTCCAACATAGGAGAGGCCCGTATACTATACGATCAATTGACTCCCGTTTGTCCCATCGCTATGGCGTTGAGCGCCGCCTCACCCGTGCATAGGGGCTATCTATTGGATCGCGACTGTCGGTGGGCTATCATCTCGGCCTCAGTCGACGACCGCACGAAAGAAGAGCTCGGAGAGGAACCGCTCAATCATAGCATGTTTCGCATTTCCAAATCCCGTTACGACTCAATCGACTCGTATTTATGCGAAACCAGCGATAAATATAACGATATTCTGTTGACGTATCACAAGGGATACTACGACCAGATGGTCGGCGCGGGTGTCGACCACATGCTCGCCAAACATATCGCCCATCTATTCATCAGAGATCCCGTTTGTGTCTACAAAGAGAAGTTGGACCAAAACGACGAAACGGAAACCGATCACTTCGAGGTATACAATCGCAACACAGTGTCCATCAACAAACTAGTGTCTATCTATTCATCTCATTCTTTGTGGTGCAGAACATTCAGTCGACTAATTGGCAGACCATGCGATTCAAACCGCCGCCGCCCCAGTCGTCCATTGGATGGCGGGTAGAGTTCCGGCCGATGGAGGTGCAAATGACCGAGTTTGAAAACGCGGCTTATGTTGTGTTCGTTGTTTTGCTCACAAGAGTTATACTCTCTTTCAAATTGAATCTATTGCTACCCATTTCTAAGGTATGACCAACAGATCACATTGAGTGATGAGTTGTTCCCTTAAAACATGTCATTGTTTCGCACCTATAGGTCGATGAGAACATGATTGAGGCTCAGAAGAGGGACGCCGTCAAGCGGTGTAAGTTCTGGTTCCGCAAAGACATCATTAGTCTGACGAGTCCTCCCGAAGCGGCGAAGTGTGTGGAGGCGACCGGATGTTCGTCCGACTTCTGTACGGCTAAATCGGAGACACCGATCGACGAGTCCTGTGTACTCATGTCTGTGGACGAGATCATCAACGGAAAGGGCACTCAATTCCCAGGATTAGTGCCACTATTGAAGCACTACTTGAGCAGCATTGAGCTCGATGTGGACACTCAGTGCACAATTCAACAGTATCTTAACCTCATTGCCAACAGAGCGTCGGGTAAACTCCAGACGACCGCCCAATGGATACGGGATTTTGTGCGCCAACACCCGGACTATAAGCAAGACTCGGCCGTCAATGAGTCCATTAATTATGATCTTCTAATGACATGCAATCGTATACAGAAGGGAGAGCTAACTATCAGGCAATTGGTTGGCGATAATCCCAAATCCAAAACCAATTTATAATGAATTTTCACTTTTAAACGAAATGAAACGGTTTTACTAAATGTTTAGATTTTTAATAAGAAAAATATATAGTTATGCCTAACATTCCAGTAGTTGTTATGTTTAGGTAATTCAATGTCAATATTAAATATTGACAATTATTTTATAACAAAGAATATAATTATATAACAAAAATTTTAGATATTGTTATCAAAGCTTTTTATCACAAGAATTGTAATAGTTTTTGAAATATTGTAAGCAAATTGTGTTGAATAGGAATTTGTCTCACCGGACACATGATTAACAAATAAATGGTCACTTTTGTTGGGTATTAAAAATATAACACTAGATTTGGTCACAACTGGACAGTACTACTGATGTTGTGGGGGTTCACTGTGGGGCCCCTTTTCGCCCAATTTCCACGTGTAGTAAATGTTCCAAAACAATGAAACCAAAGCCACGACTGGGAGTCTGTTTGATATGAATTGGTTTGAGTCAACGCAACAACAAAATGATCACAATTTCATTGTACCGATAGTTGAGGGGAACGAAGTAGAAGTTGACCAGAGCTACGAATGGCCAGAGTTTCCAATTGGCAATCATTATATCGTAGTAATCCTTACGAATGGTGGCCTCGATTTTATCCAACGAGTGGCCGTTCATTACGCCCAACACTGGAATGGCTGTGAATTGTAGCGCCGGTGCGAAACATAACTATAATAAAATGTTATTAATAATCGAGCCATAGTTATCACATGCAATCATTGTTATAATTGGGTCAACCAAAGGCATCATAAGTTATTTAATACCTGATCCGTAATCACTTTCTTGATTGGGGTGAATTTGCCGGTCGCGCCGTACACTCTCTCCAATATGACTAACCAATTCCTAATAACCGGTCCCTTAAATTGATTAAACAAATTAATTACTGGAAAATCTATTCGTTTATTGAATGAATTTATACAATAAATAGTAGTCCAAAAGCGCCAAACTTTGCCGTCCGCTGCCAATTAATTTCCTGTTGCTTTTCGACGCCCTTCTGTGCGATCAGATCTCCGGCCCCCAGCAGTACACCTATTAATGACAAACCATTCATTTTAATTATAAGTATTGCTATTTATGTCATTTATGTGATATTCGTGCGATTATATGCCGTAATAATACAATTACATTACATTTTAATTAACTTTACATCCAGTATTAAAAGACAGGGAACTGGGTTTGCAAACTAGACTACAGTAAATACTATTACTTTAATTTCTTCATCTCAAGTATTATTTGTTGTATTTTAATTTATAAACGATTGCCCTTTATAATATACAATATATATGACTATTCATTTTACACAAGATTACTAAATTCAATAAAGATTATGACTTTCAAACTTCGTATAAAGTTTGTGTGCTTTCAGCAAACATTTGTTCCCAAAAAGCTAATATTCCAATCAATTGGTGACATAACTAACACTAAACTTCTGGATATATTTTGATTAATTAATTCTGTTCAACTTTAGACTAACAAATCAAACATTTTATAAATCAAATCATTTATTTAAAACATTTGCGATAATTAACAGAATATCATTGAAATGTTTGGACAGATTGTATGCACTCTTCTTTATTGCTCCACTTATTGCTATCACTAAATATTTCTCACTTAATCTTTTGGGACTCAATAAACAAATTTGAGTACAAATTAGTAAAATCTAAATTTAGTTCATATTATAATTCTCACTGTATTATTAAAAATATCATAATTCAATTAAAACATGTTTGAGCCTCCCTTAGGGGGGCAGTGAGAAAGCACAACCTCTGCAAACACTCTCTATAATATTTGATGCAAAATTTAATGACAACTTTTGAAGTTCACAATTAGAACCAAAAATCATTTTTATATAGCATTTGGTCACTAATACTCTATAATATAATTTAATTTGCAAATGACATCAATAATCGCATATCTTATCAGTTAATACACAATTCTCTTTCATTTTCAATGGCTTTTGTTTTATAATCAATGAAATAATTTCCAACAAATTTACAACATTTTATATTTAAATATAATTCAATACCAATTAATTTCCTGTTGCTTTTCGACGCCCTTCTGTGCGATCAGATCTCCGGCCCCCAGCAGTACACCTATTAATGACAAACCATTCATTTTAATTATAAGTATTGCTATTTATGTCATTTATGTGGTATTCGTGCGATTATATGCCGTAATAATACAATTACATTACATTTTAATTAACTTTACATCCATTATTAAAAGACAGGGAACTGGGTTTGCAAACTAGACTACAGTAAATACTATCACTTTAATTTCTACATCTCAAGTATTATTTGCTGTATTTTAATTTATTAACAATGCCCTTTATAATATACAATATATAAAACTATTCATTTTACCAAAGATTACTAAATTCAATAAAGATTATGACTTTCAAACTTCTTTCAAACTTCTGTGTGCTTTCAGTGAACATTTGTTCCCAAAAAATTAATATTCCAATCAATTGGTGACATAACTAACATTAAACTTGTGGATATATTTTGATTAATTAATTCTGTTCAACTTTAGACTAACAAATCAAACATTTTATAAATCAAATCATTTATTTAAAAAATTTGCGATAATTAACAGAATATCATTGAAATGTTTGGACAGATTGTATGCACTCTTCTTTATTGCTCCACTTATTACTATCACTAAATATTTCTCACTTAATCTTTTGGGACTCAATAAACAAATTTGAGTACAATTTAGTAAAATCTAAATTTAGTTCATATTATAATTCTCTCTGTATTATTAAAAATATCATAATTCAATTGAAACATGTTTGAGCCTCCCTTAGGGGGCAGTGAGAGAGCACAACCTCTTCAAACACTCTCTATGATGCAAATGACAACTTTTGAAGTTCACAATTAGAACCAAAAATAATTTTTATATAGCATTTGGTCACTAATACTCTATAATACTATTTAATTTGCAAATTACATCAATAATCGCATATCTTATCAGTTAATACACAATTCTCTTTCATTTTCAATGGCTTTTGTTTTATAATCAATGAAATAATTTCCAACAAATTTACAACATTTTATATTTAAATATAATTCAATCAATCATTCAATCAATATAGCGATCAATTGACAAAAAATTTGAATTCAATTTAATGGGAATAGTGGTAAGGGATGGCCCGCCGGGCATATGAACGGTGTGAATGGGTTGGGGGTGACGGAGGGATGGGGGAGAGGGGGCACTGATAGGGTGGTTACACTTACCGGTTGTCGTGCATTGCGTAATGAGAGGATATGTATGTAAGAGCTTATTATAAGCGCCAAACACTCTCATTAACATTATTCACAAAAACAATTTAATTGCAATTATAATAAATATATATAATTATAATTCAAAAACACAATTACAATCAAACAAATGTATTAATTAAAATGTAATGTAAATAAAAAAGTTTTCAAATAATGTTTTAATTAAATATCAGACCAGTGAGAGAGAGGACTGAATGACTTGAATGAATACCTTATTAAATCCAACAACAATTCACGTGTTTTCTGCTGTTTATATGTGTAGAGAGAGGGAGAGGGGGACTGACAGCTGGTGGAGAGGGACTGGTAGTCAGTCTGATAAGCACTGGGAGAGAGAGCACTCTCGCGCACACAAATCTCGATCCATCGGTTCGGCTCTCTCGATACCATCCAATTTGATGGCAAACTTGTTTTGATTGATTGTAAAATGCTTTTAAATATTTTTCAATTAATTTAAAGTACTATTTATGAAGTTATTCGTCGATTGAATTGCATTTTTGTGGAGAAAAATATAGTTTTGTTTTGTTTGAAAGTTTTGTCCGATTATTTCGTTTTGCGTTGATTTGTATAATGAGATGGTATTTGGTTTTGGGCCGCAATGACCGACAGGTGCGGCGGCGGCGCCGACATATGCAACGGCGGTAATCCTAGCGGCGGCTGTATTACACCCACAGCCGCCATATGCGAAGCCGGGTGTATGGGATGCGGTGGCGGCGGCGGTACAGACACCCCGGGAGGCATACCGTGAACACCAGTCTGTGGCGCACCTGTACTCAAAGGAGACAAATACTGATGTTTAGAAATAAACTCACATTTTGTGCCATTAATTGTGATTAATAACCAGAAAATCCGGCGAATGGTTTATAGGTCTGATAGTACTGGAAGTTCGGGTCCCAACCGGGAGGAGTCGGCGGAACGGGTGGTGGCGGCGGCGGAAGCTGTGGTACGGCCATTGGCTGACCGCCAGCGGCCATAAACCTATAGCCAGCGGTTGCCTGCGAATGGTTTTGACCGTACATTTGCGGCGGTGGCGGCGGTTTCACTATTGAATTGGCAATCAGTGTCGGCGGCGTTGGATGCGGTGGAGGCGGCGGTACAGCGCCAACACCCGCAGTGACCGGAGTGGTGGGCATTGGCATCGGCGGTGCCATTGTATTGGGTATCGTAACGGCGAGTACCGGCTGTTTGTTGGGAGGGCTCTGTCCAGTGGGCAGTTGCGGAGGTGCGGGACTATTAGGCGGTGAGTCTTGAGGCGTCTCAGGCAATGGCGTTGAATACAGATCGAGCACTTGATGGCAGATATCTTCAAGTATGTCAACATTGATGTCGTCGACAAACATATCCCACCAGTGCTTATGCTTTGGTAGTCTTCCCTCCCAATCATTCACTTCAAATTTGGACAGTTTTCCGGCCAAAAACATCAACGCTATCGCTATTATCTCGGGTTCCCATTGAAGACATATCGTAGTACTTAAACTGTGGACACAAATTGTAAATCACGTGTTCATAAAAACCAGTGACAAACTCATGAGTTTAATGGTTAACACCGACCTATCGTTGATGAAAGTCCACGCCATTTGAACCATTTTGTTCAGCTTATCCTTATCGCCCTTAAGACTCTTGGCGTACCTCAAGAGGTACTCGTATGGGTGATCCACCTGAAGGTCGAACCGAATGGTCTGCAGGACAATGCGCTCGAGTGTCAACACCTCCTCTTTGGGGTCTTCGCCAAACGTCTGGAACTGATGATCAGTGAGTAGAGTGCGGGCCGTCTTAATGATGTCTTTGCACTTCTTGGGCGTCTCCTCGACCTTACCGGCGAGGAATAGACAACAGGAGGCGCTGACGAATCGGGGGAACGACTTGAACGAGTGGTACATATAGAAGCGGTGGAAGTATATGACACCCGTTGCCATTGTGTCGAACCGTAACTTCATTGTCGTCCCCACACGCAGTATAAACCGCGAGCCCTCCCGACGGTAGCGCTGTTCGGTCTCGAAGCTGATCCCATCGGCGAACGATGGCGTGCGTCTCAGTTCGCTCTTGTCGTAGAACCAGTTGGACATCACTTCTTCCGCAACTTTGTCTTCTTCTTCGCTGTTCGCGTCGCGTGTGGTGTGGGATGTGATAAACGCCAAGACATGGAAGAATGGATAAGACATTGAAAATCATTGACACAATCAATGGCTTTCTGGGTGTCAGCGAAACAATGGTTACCTTTGGATCAAAATCATGGAAATCGTGGTCACAAACAATAGGTCACAAAGACATCCGTAAAGACAATCGAGTGATTGGTTTTGAGTTTTGGGTCCAAATGAGGGACAAAATCAATGCATTTGTCGTCAATTCAGCGTTTATTCAATCATTTGATGCATGAATTAAATGTTGACTCAAATAATGGCTTATTTGACGCAAACCTACACAGAGAGCGACACAAGTGCTCAACCATTACAACCATTGCCTCCACTTTCACTATGGCTTGCATTACATGCCATCCACACCAACCCCTCTTCACTCCCGACCCCAACCATCGGTTCCCCCATTTATGGTCCAAACCCGTAACCCTTACCCCATATATCTGTACCAATTAGTGACTATAACTCAATTGTTGTCAATTAATTGTTGAAATCAACGGTCGTTTAAACAATTTGTAAACCCTTTCGCCGGAAATAGTTTGCAAAAGTAGTTTGAATTTCATTACGGTATAAAAAGTTTGATCCGATTGTAGTCTAGAAAAGTAAATGACAAATGCGTTATGTATTTAGTATACGAGACATGGCTTTAGTTTTATTTGTCATAATTTAATTAACAATGTTTTTGTAGTTTTTGTTATCGCATGATATCAATAAAAAACTTCATTTAAAGATAATTAATTTAATGCAAAGAATGAGACGAAAAGTCAGTCAAATAGACGGATGAATGACTTTTTCGACAAATATATAAAACTCTGAAAATTCAGATCAAACTCATGAAAAACATCTCAATAATAGTAATTTTGGTAATAATAATAATAAATGGTTAGTTAAATATATGGTATAACAAATAAAATGGGGATTAATTATAGTTAAAATCAATGTCAAAGACCAAAGTATGGCTAAAATCTTGTACTGTATATAATAATAGAGTAATAAATTAACTAAGTTTTTGTGTAATGTGTAAAAAAGTTGTACCAAAAATATGGTCAATTCATAGTTAAAATAATCGCTTCTCTATTTGAGAAGTGCTTCCCTTTCCGTTGTTTTGCGCGACAATTAAATTAGAAATAAAATCTAAGATTCAATAAATCATTTCATTTGTTGTAAATATAACCGCAGATTTAGTAGTAGTTGTTGTGGTGGTAGTAGTGGTGGTGAAGATGTGGTTATGATCACTGAAATACTAAATGATTGTGGAGAGAGACAGAGAAAGGGATGGCCAGTCCGTAGTAGTGGTACTAAAAGTGATGACTGTGTCAAGTAATGGTGTGTTGAGCGGATGCGGTGGTCAGCAATGGAGTTCGCACTCGAAGTTAAGCATATTGATGATGGCCTCGTCGACGGACTCGGCGTCCCTATAGGCCAGAATCAAAGTGTCGTCTTTAATGGTCAGTTTGAGGAATGTCTGCAGATTCTGGCGAAAACAGTTCAACTCATTGAGACCGTTGTGATCGATCACTTGTTCGCCCAAATACTTCAACATACGGCTCAACACAATCTCTGCGTTGGGCTCCTGAGACATCTCACGCAACACCTCATCGTTTTTGATGAGCCGTCGGACTAATGTTAGGAACGATTCTTTCAGTGTTTCGTATTGAATGGATTCGTCGCGTTCGCAGTACAGGTCGGTCTTCAGCCGCCGCACAATCTCCTCATCAAAAGCATTCAATACTACTTTCACGTCCTTTCGTATACCAAACTCTTCCTTCAGGTTCTGGATCAGGGCTTCGGGCACTTCGGACGACTCCGAAGAGTCCGATAGACTCGTCAGATCGATGTTGTCTAATATACTCAATGGTTTGATAATTTGCTCGCCGTTTGATTTGATTTCTAAAGTAAAAAACAATTCACATTAAATACCAACTAAATAAGTACCAAATCAGTCCATCAGTACCTTCAGTGCTGTTCCCAATGACAGCCAAATATCTATTGAGACATTTGGACTCATGTCTAACTTTACTTTCGTATACATCACTCACTAAACCGCAAACACTGCACGAAAGGGTTCTCTCAATGACTTCCTTTAAAAAGTAATAAAGTGTTAATCAAAACGATTGAAACAACAAACCAAAGGGCAATCCATACCTCAACGCGTCCGGAGTGGTCGGCGGTGTAGACCTTATTGCACGCGTGTTCGTGCCATAGGAGCTGTTGTTTAATTCTGAACTCAAGGCCACAGTTTCTACATTTAAATTTGGGTGCTTTGGACGCAATACGATTGATGGCAGTGTTTTTGGTGCACTCGTCTCTGTGCTCGACGTACGACTCCTTAGTCATGTATGTCTTGTTACAGTTGGAGCACTGGTACCGATACGGACACGTCGTCTTGATATGATTGGCCAATTCGGCGCGCGATTTCTGCTCCGATTTACAGTACGGACAGTGCAGTAGAGAGTCGTCGCCCCCATCGATGTCTTCGTCGTCGCTCTGATCGATGGCCTCCGAGTCGCGCATTTCCAGCGACTTCTTCGTCACTTCAATCAGATTTTTCTTTTTAAGGATTTGAACGTTTTGTAAGTGAAGAATGAGATGCTGTTGAATGCGTTGGTAGTGATGGACGCGAGCGCCGCACAGTTCGCAGTCCAACGCGTCGATCGACTCGTTTTGGATCAACTCTTGGGTGATATGACTGAGACGATGGCGAATGAACTGCAGAACGTCGTCAAACTCTTCGGCACAGATCGTGCATTTGGTCACTTCGGATACACTGATCACCACTTCTTCCGATTCATTCCCGTTAGTATCCATTCCGATGGCGACGGCGGCGGCACTGGAGCTCTGACTCATTTGTGCGGGAGAGCTCACGTTAGTGTAGTTCATGGTCTTGCGGGCGCGCGGAACCGTTGGGTTCAGGCAAAACGACTCGCCCTCTGCCGGCGGCGCTCTATCCTCGGCCACAAACGACTTCTTAGCCTTGTTTTGAGGCCCCGATTGTCTGCCCGTAGTCTCGTTGGACAGAGCGCTGCAATACTTTTTCTTGTGTTCCATGAAGTAATAGTAGCTATTATAGGGACCCCTTCCGCAGGCCTCACACATGGTTAGGTTGGGCTCATTCTTGGCCCTATCGTTAAGTCTGGCCAACTCTGACGACCGCATCACAGGCTTCTGACTGTCTTTAGTAGTGGCGGTTGGCGTAAATTTCTTCACATTAGCCGTCACTCTATTGCTTGTGAGTCGACGCACGCATTGATACTTTTGATGGATATTCAATTGACTGGCGTTAGTAATGCCAGTCTTTCCGCAGAGATCGCATGTGATGGTCGACCCGTCCTTCGAGAGCGACGACTGTTTGTTTGCGGCAAAGCTCTCATTACTCGAAACCATTCCGACGTAAGCAGACGTCAGGTCGCAGTCCTGTCGGTGAAGGTTATAGAAATATTTTGACTCAAATATTTGGGAACAGTTTTGACAGCGAAAGCCATCGCCCTTTCCGGTCGAGACGTTCACTTGTGGTAAACCGTGATATATAGTCAGATGACAGCCAAGAGATACTCGATTCTTGAGCTCAATTCGCGGACAAAGTTTACAGTAAAACCGATTTTCGGCGACCGTTCGGTTCTGACCATCGTTTGCGGTGGCGTTCGTGGTATATGTGTTGCGCGGAACCGCTGGTTTCCTACCGGCCAGAGTCCGCGAACGGATCACTTGTGGCTTTTGAAACGGATTGTATTTAGTGGGCAAACACGTCGATCCGCGCAAATGATTGGTCAGCGCAACCGTTGGGTTCTTTCCGACAAATACTTTGCGACAGCGGTCACAGCGCGCGGAGTTAGTCCACGGCGGCAATGCATTGCGTGATCGGCCCGTAAGGGACCCCTTCCGCTGTTGACGACTATATACGATGTCGTCTCCGCTCTGGATTGGCGTCTGTTTGCCTGGACTCGGCTGTCGTGCGGCCGATGACTGTCTGTGTATAATATTACGAATACGCGATCTCTTCGTATTCTTCATGAGATGAAGCGAATTATTCTTCTTGAGCTCTTGAGGAATAGCCTTATAATACCATTCGCGACAAAATGGACGTCGACTTAAATGGTTACACAATCCGTAGGAATTGTCAAATGCTTTGCGACAATATCGACAGCGAAAGTCATTGCCGTGAATCGCTTCTATCTGTTCCCGTTTGAAATGCTTTACAGTATTCTCATTCAATGCGTTTCTCACACCCGATCCCACGGGACGACCGGCCGTCGGCCGCGCCATCGCTAGTGGTCTGAGTGGTTGCGGTTGATGTCGTTGGGGAGACCTTTGCGGAGACGGAGTGCCGTTCCCTTTGGTCGACGATTGCATCTCTTTCTCACATGACGTCCGGTGTATTTCATACGCGCGAACCGATAGATAACTCTTGTGACACAACTCGCACTTCCAGTACTGTTGGGAACCGTTTCCCACGCCATTGGTGTCCGATTTAATAGGAGTGGAGACCAACTTCTCTTTGGCCGAGAATTTGCCCAAACGGCTGTGTTCTTCGATATGAGCCTCCGATTCGTGTTTGTTGTCGAAATTGATCTTACATTCGGAGCACTGATAGAAGAGCTTAATTTGGTGAACGCTTTTCATGTGTTGAATGTGCGCTTCCGCCTCAACAAACTGTTTGCCGCAAATGTGACAGTTTTGGACACCCTTTTTGGCGGTGGGCGACGACTGGACCACATTGTCGTTCCCATTGCCAGTACTCTTGCCGTACTTACACGCGCCGAACACGTGCTTATTGAGCGACTGAACCCAATGGGTGACAAAATTGCAGTTCTCGTTCGGACAGCAAAGCAGTTCCCGGAGTCGACCCTCAAGGCTGGGTCGCGACCGATCGCCTCCATTACCGCCTGAAATGTTTCCGAGTGTTTGCGAATAGTTTGTCGGTTCGCTGTGGACGGCGTTGAATGTCTCGTGAATGGGATGAGCGTCACGACAGGCGGGACTCGACAGCTTGTGTCGGTCGAGCCAACCCGTGTAACAAAACCCTTTACCACAACCCGAGCACTGGTATTGGGTCTTCGAGTTGGCGATACCCTCCAGACCCTCCTCCTCGTCCTCTTCATACTCTTCGTATTCCTCCTCGTCGTCCAACTCTTCCTGTTTAATGTACGTATCGGTGGGAAGTAAGAGCTGTTCCCGCGTGTGATTCGTCTCTTTATTGAAATACAAGGCTTTCACTTCGCAATTGTCTACAAAAAATAATAAACATTTATCACAATTAGAATCACTTAAAACAATGTATTAAAGTGTCATTTTTACCATCGTTTCCGCTAAACTGCTCTCTATTATTGATCACATTTTTCGGCGCCGAAGGCGGCGGCGATTGAAACGATCGGTTCAGAGACTTTGCCGGCGAATAAATGGTCGCATTATTGCTAACATTATTGCCATTATTATTGTGATTAACAGTAAAGGACTGATTGGTTCGGTTGATGGTAACCGTTGCCGACGATGACGTGACAATCTCTATAGGAGTGGCCGATCGGGTGGTCGACGTCACCACCGGAACGTGTATTATCTGGTTCCTGGAACCGCTGGTTATGATCACATTCGTTTGACTCATCTTCCAATTGGGATCTCTTCGGATCACGTCTTTTAGACCACAAATCAGATGAAACTATAAATTAGTAGCGCCTGAAGAATGGGTGACAACATATACAGCATTAGGTTTGTTAAGTGATGACGAAATTAGTTCAAATTGAGTCAATTAGACAACAATTAATGCCAAAAAGTGGGCAAATATTAAAAATAATGGTTAATTCAAATATTGATATCAATTAATGGCACAAAAATAAGCGATAAAAGCGAGTGTTTATAACAATTATAATCAGTAAAACCAATCGATAAGTGCATTGGTTTTCACCACTAACTCAAACTCAAACTGTTTTATCAAATATAATACATTTTTGCCATCAAATGATTGATTGCGAGGCGAAGACTATCGCTAATTGTTTTGGTTATTACCACCAAATGATGGGCAAAATTGTGGCCAAAAACCATTCAAACAATTGGTAAATCAGATTCGGTTTGAGGATTGGGTTTACGATACAAAAAATCAATCATACAATTAAATGATGAGATTTTGTGGTCGATATACCCATTCAGACAACCATTTAAATCGATTTAAACCAAAAAACCATTGATTAAAACCATTAAAATAAGCGACGGATCAGATCGACAAACGTGTGGCGCGAAGACGTCTACTGTATTGACGCCATCAGTGAATAACTCGTTGAAAGCGTAACTCAAACCTCAAATCAAAACCACATTTGCCTTCAAAACCAATGGTTTTCAATACAAACGAAATGTAATTAAAATCACAATTAATTACTTAAACGCCGTTTTGAGTGCAAAACACAAAAACGTTTGTTTCAATCGATTCGTCGATATTTTAATGGCAAACAGTTTACCAAAAAATGGTTCAAAATTTGTCATCAAAAACAACAAACCATTGATTGAATCGTTTTTTCAGTACAAATAGAGACATAAAAGCAAATAATGGCACAAATAATATATAAATTAACACTTAATTAACACAAATGACAGCAATAAATGTGTACTCAATACAAGTGGCACTCATTTGAGTCATTTGTAATGGTATTGCATTTGTGAGCGCTTTTGTGGACAATAGAAATGTGTGTTTCCTATCATTTGTAATACAAGTCTATCTCTATATATGGCACGCATTGGTCTCCTATTGGACTCACCATTGGATGCGTGTCTGCGATGGCATGTCTGGTCTCCTAATCATGTCTTCGCCATCCATGGCATGCATTATCACATCAATGGGTGTTTGGATGACACAAATATGTATACACTTTGTGTTGAAAAAACAGGTGAACGAACTGTAAATGCAATGCAACACAACGTCTATGACATGGATTTTTTGTTGTCAATAGAGTTGTATTGAGTGTAATGCAAAGCGTATGGAAAATGTCTGTACAGTCTGTGGCTATAGAGAGGCACTCACTGTATGTTTCACTCACTCTCTCGCTATAGTGTACGGCAATAATGAGCGCAAGAGTTCAATACAAATCTCAATGCAATCGTATTGCAAACTAGTGATTGTAAAGTGAGTCACGACATCGCGATACTAAAACTATACCGATAATGAGTTTTGCAATTCCAAAACCATATTAAAGCCGACACCTTAAACGATACCTAAATCTTAGCATTGTTTGTATCGTTTTGATATATTACATGATTTTGATTGTAATTTTATGATTAGTTACATAACTTATAAACACTATCCGTTACAGAAGCCAATCACGGCTAGAGTGTACTAAGTAACTGGTAACTTTATTAATAGCATGATTAATGAAGATTGTATATAATTAACTTTACTTATTATCGTAAATTATTGACTATTTAATATTACATTTCTACATGACGATCCCTGATTATAATTATTAAATAATAAATAGTAGCGAAATAATTAATAAATATGTCAATAATTGTTAAAATTATTATAATTATAAAATTTCATCACTGTATGCCAATCAAACCGATACCGATCCCATAAACGATACTGTTACCAAAACGATACCAAAATCAATACTAAAACAATGCCAGACAATACTATACGGACACGAAAAAGTTACAATTTTTCAATCACTATTGCAATGCATTGCAAACGACACACAACTTGAAGACAACTCTCCCAAAAGTCTTACTTTTTGTATTGGAGTTGTCTTAACGTTACGCTCACTTCAGTGTCTGTTTCCTATGCCTGCCTTTCCTTCTCTGCTATGGAGTCGTCAGCACTACTCATATGTGGCACAGAATCGACTCAATATTTGGCTAAAACCATATATTGTATGGTATTTTGCATTCAATCAATTGGTTATTCAGCGATTGAATGCCATTTCAAATGACCATTAAATCGATTGTAATCTAAATGAGCATCGATTTGATGGCACGGAAGAAATATTATAAATATTCCCCAATTTTAATACCAAATATTTGGCAGAAAAAAAAACAAATTGTTACCAAAAAAGCGCACAAATTATTTGCCAAATCTATGGCTCGTATACTTTGTATATGAAATCAATTCGTATGACTTGATAGACAATATATTCAACAAAATAACTCTCTTATCATAATAGCGAAACATTCATGCGATTAGTTAACAGTAATATACGTTAAACATAGTAGAGTAGTAGAGATAGTAGAGTAGAGATGTGTATAACAGTGTATTAATGGCAAAGAATTGTTGGCTTTTTCACTAAATATTACATTGAAATGAGCCATAGATTGTCGCCACCGATACAATTTGTAAAACACGTATACGTATACTCCTGTAAATGTCCTGGATTGTTCAAATTGCGAGTTGTGCATGCTCATTCTGACATACATACCCATACTAATGTATATCCACTGCCATACGTGTAATATCACGAATATATTGCCGTTTTTGAGTGAAAAATTTTGAAATTTATTGTCTTAAAAATATTAATTGCAGTGTAAATGTGTATCATTTTTATTTCTCTTCATATATTTCTCAATGCATTTCTAAACTCTAATTTGCCGTTTCGTATGCCGTTTGAGGTGTTATTTGTTCAATATTAGCATTTATTTGCGTTATTAAAATCGATTTTATAGTTACGTTACGGTGTATTCAAATTGCATAAACACTTCATATATCGACAGATATTTGATTATGTATTTGAGAAGCAAATAATTGGGAATTCAATTTCAAACTCTTTCGCCAATCATATGATTAAATACAATACTCTATTGGTTTGAATAGAAAACAGCAATTGTATGCAACCATTGAATCACTGAATGCCGTAATTCTAAACCAATGAAAATAAGTATTGAAAACTTGTATTTATCATTCATTGAAATATTTTGCAAACTTTGGTAATTAAATACAATTGAATTCTCCAATTGAAACAACAGTTTTATATAGCAATAAATCGTTTCAAGTAAACCATAATATAGAAAATCAAACGAATTGTTAGAAAAAATTTTAATACTTTGTCGATAGAGAACGCGTTCCTAACGTGTAAATGGATTGAGAAAATCAAACAATTTATAAATATTCGCAGAAAAATGACAAAAATTTTCAATTAACTAAAAAAAGTATATATGTATTAAATTTGTCGTGTATTTTATTGTAATTCAAAATTAAATTTAATCGGTTTTTAACAGTTATTTCTTCTTCTGAGCCTTTTCTGCGGCTTTGGTCACTTTGCCGCCCGACACGTCCTTAGGCTTCACCGCCTTAATCACACCGACGGCCACCGTTTGCCTCATATCGCGCACAGCGAAACGTCCCAACGGCGGGAAGTCAGTGAACGACTCCACACACATGGGCTTCGATGGCACCAATTCGACGATCGCCGCGTCTCCAGACTTAATCGCCTTCGGGTTATCTATTGTCAAATCATAAGCCATTATAGCACTCATCACTACCACTGCGACCAACACTCGCGTCAATCAATACAAACCTTCAATCTTTTTACCGCTACGTCTGTCGCACTTCTCTTTGATCTCACGGAACTTGCAGGCGATGTGAGCCGTGTGGCAGTCGAGTACTGGCGTATAACCGTTGCTGATCTGCCCAGGGTGGTTCAACACTATCACCTGAGCGGTGAACTCTTCCGTCGCCTTCGGCGGGTTGTCCTTCGAGTCTCCGGCGACGTATCCTCTCCTCAACTCTTTCACCGACACGTTCTTCACATTGAAGCCAACGTTATCGCCGGGAACCGCTTCGGTGAGGGCCTCGTGATGCATCTCCACAGACTTGACCTCAGTGGTCAACATCACGGGCGCGAATGTCACCACACATCCCGGTTTGATCACTCCGGTCTCCACACGACCCACGGGTACGGTTCCAATACCTGACAACACATCAATTCAGTCAAACAATCCATTAAATTCCAATTGTGTACAAAAATACCTCCAATTTTGTAAACGTCTTGAAGGGGAAGTCGGAGGGCCTTATCGACAGGTCTGGAGGGCGGCTCCATAGCATCCAAAGCGGCCAATAGGGTCTTGCCTTCAGCCTTAGCTCCCTTTCTCTCGATTTGCCATCCCTTAAACCACGGCATGTTTGCCGACGCCTCCAACATATTGTCTCCATTCCATCCGGAGATCGGAACGAAGGGAACGGTCGCCGGATTGTAACCAATCTTTTTCACATAAGCCGACACTTCCTTCTGGATCTCCTCGAATCGGCTTTGACTGAACGGCGGTTCAGTGGTGTCCATCTTATTCACGCCGACAATCAACTGCTTCACACCCAAAGTGTAGGCCAAGAGCGCGTGCTCTCGGGTCTGTCCGTTCTTCGAGATGCCGGCCTCGAACTCTCCGGTGCCGGCGGCCACTATCAGCACCGCCACATCGGCCTGAGAGGTACCGGTGATCATGTTCTTAATGAAATCTCGATGTCCCGGGGCGTCGATGACGGTCACGTAGTACCTCGGGGTCTCGAACTTCCACAAAGTGATATCGATGGTAATACCACGTTCGCGCTCTGCCTTCAGCTTATCCAACACCCAGGCGTACTTGAAAGAGCCCTTTCCCATCTGTGACAGGGGGTGCACACAAAGGGGGTTAGAGGAGGGGTCGGGCAAATGGTTACGAGTAGTGGTCACTCACCTCTTGGGCCTCTTTCTCGAACTTCTCGATCGTTCGCTTATCAATTCCTCCGCACTTATAGATGAGATGTCCAGTAGTGGTGGACTTTCCGGAGTCCACGTGTCCGATGACCACACAATTGATATGAGTCTTCTCTTTTCCCATTGTTGTTGAGGTTGTGTTTCGTGAATCACGTCTTGATTATAACCAACTGTTCATTCAATTACAAAATCAATTCATTATTAGATATGAGAATTATGTAAAATCATTAAAAAAGTGATAAAAAGCGTGTCATAAATGGCAGACAGAGATATGACTGCAAACGATAGGCAAACGAAATGAAACGATATGTTGTCGTCGTTCAGGGCTTCGCATACAAATGACAACACGTTTTGCGCGTTTATATCGTTATAAATACCTTTCAAAGCGTTAATTAAACACAAAAAGTGATGATAATTAGCGGTAAAAGTAGTGATTAATAACAAGTGATAGACAATGTATGGGATGAGTGCAGTGCCGGTGCAATGCTTTCAACACAAAACGGAAATGAATGCCAATGTATGGCACAAATGGCGGACAGAGAGGGAGTGCAGGCAATGGCAGAGTTGGCACACAATGCAAACCAATGCACAACATATGCGCCGCCAATGCGTCAGTGCTTTAAATACAAGCAATGCTTTCGTGGCTTTAATGCTGAGAAATGCAGAGTCTTTTGGCCCACGTTTTCAATGGCTATTACTATAAGGCTATGGCTTTCTATTCAACTGCCCTTTCATTCACATCAAGTCATGAAGTTTTTGAAATCAAAACTCAATTTCGCAAATAATAACAATTGTTTTCACAGAAATAATTGAGAAATTGAAATGAAATACTGAAATACGAGTCAATGCTTTTCGCATACAATTGCATGACATGTCTGTCTGAGTGAACGCCGGCTTTCATTACACGCTTTCATTCAAACTATCAATTCTGGTCTCAAATAGTAATCAAATCTAATTGTCATTTGCGTTAAAGCCGTTAATAGTATAGCAAATAGTGTTTAAATGTAATAAACAATTAAAAGTAATATAAAATAATGTTGAAAATCAATGATTACTTACAGATTATGTGAACACTTGAGTCGCAACGTATAGAAGAGATCGACGCTATTATAAGCCGGACCTTAAGTACTGTCTCAACACTGCTCTACACGTCACTCAACCACAGCTCATACTCGCACCCCATTCGCCAACCACTCACTCCCTCCCCCTTTCGGCCCCCATTCCTCACTGCCATCGCTCACAGCCATTGCCATTACATGCCATACATAAGCCATGTCTAGAAAAACCTGTTTTTTCAAAGTTTTATCAGTATTTTTGGACGTAATTTCTGTGTATATCTAAAGCGTGTTATTGTGTGCAACGAATGGCGACTATATTTAAAAAGTGGTTTCAAAATCGGGTAATCAGTCGCGTCTTTACCGCCGCAGCCGTCAGTGTCCGCCACTCTGGAAGCGGTCCGTCATTCCCGCAGTTTGTGAACCTTCCGCCTCACTATCCCATCAACGGTTTGGGCGCAACACATGAGACACGCGTTGTCCGCAAGAGACAGATCGTGGACCCAAACGTGCCGTCATTTGTCAAACCGGAATCACTTAAGTGGTCTGATTGGCGAATGTTAAGGGACTGTCGCCGCCGATACATCTTCGCCCGCTATCACCCCAACCGCACGTTTCTCTATACCATTCGTCGCTGCAAACTATTGCCATCCAATATCAGGGTATTTGTCATTACCATTGCGTTCAATAATCACCACATTTTACCAATTGATTGTGTTTTTGGTTTCGTTGCTCAGGACGTGGCCCTCGAAGAGGACCGCGCGTTCCCGAAGGACGCCCACATCGATCACCTCAACAATCGGTGTATCATCAGTTCGCGCGCGAGAGGAAACTTCAAGCGATATAAGATTAGTCGACACATGTGGAGAGGTTTAGCCGATTATAACCAACTGTCGGGAGTGGCCAAAGCCTGCTGGTGACCACCCGCTGCTCAACTGTTTTCGCTAATCATTTAAATAATAGTCGCCGTGTTTTTAGTCAGTTTATCGATTAGTCATTTTTCTTATAGAAAAAGTCTGTAGTTTTTGTTTAAATAATAATAATAGACACAAATTGTTGCATAATTTTGTTGTAATAAACCAATGATTAAACTCGTGTTTTGCAACGAAAGAGTCCTCGTTTGGGATCCAAGCGGTGAGACCTTTGATTGTATTTTAGTATAAATTGAAATAAATATTTAAATTTAATTATGCATTTAATTCATTGTGTGCTTTAGATGTGACTTATTTGCGAAAAAACCATCGCATTGTCGGCACTTTTATGGGATCAATGCCTGGTTTTACGCAACAAAACACAGATTTAGGTCTACCGCTACTATTAATGCCCGAAGAGGCCAAACATCTTGTGGACACCGGCGTCGCTGTGATCGTTGACTATCAGCTGACAGTCGACGAACCGATGAGAACTTTCTATACACAGTTGAGGGAAGAGTTTTGCCAACAAAATGGCCAACAATTCAGAGCCGAGCGAATGAAAGCAATTAATGAAATGTCGGATAAAATAATAGCCGGAAAAATGAAGAAATTTGCTGAAAAATACCAACACTTAGAACGGGAAGAGATAGAGAAAGAGATTATACGGCAAGAGTTGGATAAAATACCAACGATTACACCGCAAAACTGTGCGATAAAAGTCTACACAAATTGTCCGTTTGATAAGAGAGTGGCGAACGTTATTGACTTTGCGTTTCCCAAGACATCCAAACAAGTGATAAGATATGAAGTGTACAAACAATTGTGGCATAAAAACTATTACATAACGGATGGCATTAAGTTTGGCTGCGATTTCCTAGTGTACGAAACGGATCCGATTGGCGTTCACTCAAAGTTTATGACCATTTGTCGCGAGGATTGTCGAGAGTTAACCGATTTAGAGATTCAAATGTATGGAAGACTCGCCAAAAGTGTACGAAAAAATATTTTAATCGCTTCGTATAATCAATATTTACAAATGAAAAACGATTACCAAATCGTTTATAAAACTATAAAATGGGAAACACATTCCCCGCAAACATAGTAGCGATTACTGTATTGTTTACAAACCGGTCATTTGAATGAAATTAAAACAATCTAAAAAACATATGACAGTGAATACTAAAAGTATATATAAATAATTTTCAATTCAAAAAATGACAACCGATTTGTTTGATTGGATGTTAACGTTATATAATACTAGTGTTTGATATGCAATATAAAAGCCAATATATCATAAGAAATGCCATAAAATTGTATATAAAATATATATAATAAATCAGTGAAAACAATAAATACTGCAATCGTATCATCAATTAATATGCCATCGCTTAGGAGCTGTTATCTCATGGCTCTTAAGCCCATATCTCTTAGCCGTTGGCTCTGCCGTGTGTTAGGCGTCGATATAGTGGTAGTGTTTGTGAGAGAAGATTGTAATGTCTTTTTGGTCGGTTTGACAGTTCGGTACATATTATGGATATCAGATAAGGCTGTCCGGGAACGGGTGGCCGCAGGTGTGCGTCCTTTCATTGGCCAATTCTCCTATCATTAAGACATTATAATGTTATTGTTATTATCATTAAATAGTTATTATATAAAAGCAATTAATCACTAAAACAATTGTTATAAAAATTATTGTCAAAACATAAGCGAAAGTGTTATTCAAATGGTGTTGAGAGTGAATCAAGTGTTTCTAGTTTTATATAAATTGGTTTTGTTTTTATTGCTTAGAAGTGAATACCTGTCCAACACTTTTGCGTTGTCTTCGCAGACGTTTCAGATATCGGGTCCGTCGGTGATTGGCCGCGGAGTCGGTACAGACAACGCGTTTCCAGCGTTGGCTAACGCAAGCCATACGGCATAAGTCGGGCGCCGATAAGTAGTTGAATATGAGATCCAATGGCGGCTGATATCTGTCGGCCAATTGGGAGATAATGTCGACGAATTGGTCCACATTCTCGATGTCATAGAAGTCTTCTTCCGATGCGATGGACATTGTTTTCGGTGATTATTATTACAAATATTAAAACGATTTATAAAAATACAATGAATTTAATGAATGAGTTATAAAAGCGATGTTTAAATGCATTTAAAAATTAAGTAGAGTTTTGAGTGAATGAGTGATTGGTTTGAGTGGTATTTGAAGATCACATTTGCATTGAGTGTTGGGTTTGTGTTAAATCAGTGCTCAATAGACCACTACATCGACAGCCGAGTCGTCGGATGTCTTAATCCTTTAACGTTATAACAGTTGTTGTCGTTTATCTGCAGATAACGAGTGCTTACGAGTGGTTCCCATAATAATAAGCAATACATCTCTTGTTATAACAAATAATAACACAATTTATGTCTGTTTTCTGTGTTTGTTATCAAAGAGTTGTGTCAAAAACGCCGACACTTTTCGTTCAACCATTCATTTTACTCGCAATCTCTTTAAATGTTTACACAAACGATTCCTATTGGCTCTCACTTTAGCCAATCAATCGCTATTTCATCGCTCGACCAATGGGTGACTTACAGTTCCCACGCCTAATGTTTTGGTACTTTTTATGCCTATTAAAGGGTTATAGTTATGAATGTGTATGAAATGCACTGAAATGGGACCGAATGTGCGGTTGTATTGACTCATGTTATGTGCAATACGTTTGTAAAGCATTGATGTTTTGGTAAACATTTCGTAACGATTTGTAAATCAATTTTGAATTGTCTTTTGGTTTGAAGGGTTGATAACTGAAGAGATCTGATCACCTGATTAGCAGCTCTTGTGTTATAACCGACACAACAATACAAACAAGCGATGGATCCAAACGCTGGCAAAGATCAGGCGTCGGTTCAGCCCAAACAGCCCATGGTTTACATCTGCGCCGGTAATTGTCTCGTCGATTGTCTCATTTGATTGTCTCTAATCTGATCCGCGTTTGTGTCCACTAGAGTGCCATCACGACAATGAGATCAAACCGAAGGACCCGATCCGGTGTCGAGAGTGTGGCTACAGAATCATGTATAAGAAGCGCACCAAACGATGTAAGTCTTGCACACACTTCTGTGCATCACTTGATTTGTTCCCAAGTTTTTAATTATAAGATTCGCATAGAATTTAGACAACAGTTTATATCACAAATTGATTGATAAAATATATTATAAATAAATTTAATTTCTATTTAAAGTGATAGTATTCGACGCGCGATAGAGTGTCCACACAGTGTCCACTCAGTCCAACCGATGTCCTAATTGTCAGTTGAGTGTTATCTCCGAGAATATTGTTTGGACATCATATGTAAACTCGTATTCAGACATCATATCCTCCACTTGCTATCAGCCATACAATTGAAATTAATTGTCAATTATTTTTATGTATAAAATTATTAAATTATAAAATTAACCGCAAATACTATAGTATTCAATGTGTAGTAATCAATTCAAACAAATGCTTACTTTCTTGACATTAGTCTTCAGCATATCTTCCCTCAGACTCAACAAAGCGACCAAATGCTCGGCCCTTACGTCCGGATACTTCTTAACCAAACCCTAGATTTAAGATTTATAAATTCATATGAATATCACTTACGAAACGTATATAATGTGGTCAATGAATGACAATGAATGGTCACTTACCGACACTTCGAGGAATAAGAGACTCAAATCTTTGAGTTTTAATAGTTCGGCCAAAAGTGGGAGACAATCAAACGGTGACTCATTCTGTTTGAATCAAATGTAATTGCATTTCATTTACATACAGTAAAATGTGTATTTAGTGTGTATTTATGAACACATGAAACATACGGTCATATTAGCCATGGATTTAGTGGGCATTTTAGCGACGGCTGCCTTTAGTATCTCTCCTTCTCTTATAAACTTTTTAGCGAATATTTCTCTTTGACTCTGATTTTTGAGTTGCATTTTTCTGCGATATTAATATCAATGCATTACTACTTGAATACAAGATTTGAATTGAAAATTGTGTTACTTTTGCAAAATGGCTGTTATATATCCTTTCGCTAATCGGTTCTGCAATAAAGTCTTGAGACGATCCGAGTTTTCCTCTTTCAAGTACTCATAATCTCTAAAATAGTCTTCAAGTGTTAGACATATGTTTTCAATAACACTAATCTTTGAGTCGAACCACTCTTGAGAGCCCACTTTCATGATCTCTCGGTCCACGTCTAGGAATATCTCATACAATAAATGTCCGATACTTTATGTAAACATAAGTTTTAGAGATTAACAAATGATTGGATAATTGATTCCTAGAATTGCAAACCTCTCCTCTTTGAGTCTCTCGAAAGACTTGACCACATTATCGAACACTTTCTTCGCCTCATTATCTGTTGCCATACTTTTATCACTTTTATATTCTTGCCTGAAGTTCACTGCAATTTCGCTAAAACTCAGACAATTGTTTGTGATTGCGATCTATTAAGACAAAAATCTTAGAGAGAGAGAGAGAGAGAGAGAGAGAGAGAGAGAG